AACTCGGTCCGGAATTCCACGATGTGAAACGCCTCCTGCCCAAACTCATGTCCTTTGCCGATGCAGAACTCCGGCTGGGTAAGAGATGGTGGCCAGAACCCAGTTTCTCATCGAGGCACACGCGCTCTTATTTGCGCATCATCACCCTCTCCCGGTTTTCTTTTCAGAGCCACTTGATCGCCACCATTTCCTGGAGTGCGGCCCCTACCTACTCGATCAGCTACTCATGCACTACCAGTTGCAACTTCGCGCGCAAGCACTAAAGATTTTTGGTTCGGTGGACTTTCTTGGCAACCCTCTGGGTTTCATTAATGACTTATCGGCAGGCATTTCGGGCCTTGTTGAAATGGACGTCGGCGGCCTCGTGCGGAATGTCTTCCACGGCGTTGGCGACAGTACTGCTAAGGTTAGATTGTTATTCAATAATACAATTCCTACAGTTATCTTATTAGTAGGTGTTATGTTTAAAGCGTAACTTCCTTTCAGGTGGTTGGCAGTATGTCGCAACTGGTGCATGCCATCTCCCTGGATGAGCGACACCAGCGTCAACGCTCTGCCATTCTGGACTCCCAGGACGACAATATCTCTCAGCTCAGAGAGGGCGGCGATGTATCAGAGGGTATGCACCAGACCAACAGCCATGCAAGTGGTCTCTCCGAGGTCTTTGAAGACTACGAGCTTATCGATACTGTGCCTTCCATGACCACCAACGCGGACGATGGGCGGCAGATCACCGCACCCCTGGCTGCTGGGTTTCGCGGTTTTGTGCACGGTGTGTTTGGAGGTGTGACCTCTATGGTCACTCAACCCTACCACGGAGTACGAGAGGACAATTTCAAGGTAGGATGTCCTGTTTCTAATGCGTACTTAACGTTCATATTAATCACGATAAAAATCACTCTGCAGTTACATCCTCGATTAGCTTCTCTTAACTTTGGAGGACTGCTTAGCAAACACATTTACTGTTTCAGGCCTCTATAGTCATACTTTGGCTGGAGTGGCTAGCCCCTTGGGCACGCCAACGTTCAGAGTCCGATATGAAGCGAGTGTTTATCTTAAACAATCGTTTCTTAACAAAACAGAAACGCAACTGTTTCTGTTTAGGTTATATCGTGGACTAATAGGCAGAAGAAGACAAAAAGCCGGTTGTAATGACAAAGGCTTTATTCAGTACAACACCGAGACAGTGGATTCTTTAGCTTGTCCATTATAAATCTCTGGTCCTTCTGGAACAGTACTGGCCTATATCATGCGACGGGGGTTCTTACCTGCGCGCTGATTGTTAGTTTCTCACGCTGCGACTCTGG